GTGCGCAGGACACAGGACACAGCAAAGGAAGACCCCACATCCATGTTGCAAGTAACCTCGCTTGGCGCTCTTAAACCCTCTGAAACATGATGCTCTTAAACCCAATAGGGGAAATACATATGTACATATATACAAATATATATATATATATGCACATACAAACATGTACAGACAGATATCTACATATATATACACACATGTACATATACATATGTATACGTGTATATATATATATATATTCATATATATAGATGCATATAGGTATATAAATAAATAAATAAATAAATATTTATATATATATATGTATATATAGCATCCCGAAACGCTACCTCGAAACGTCAAAAAAATGACTGCCGGAGGCACTTGCACCTCCCCGTAAAAAAACTTCGTGAGCTGCAAGAGTCGAAGCCCCACCACGACGCAGTCTTTGGGGGCTCTTGGGGGGGGGGGGGGTGTGGAGGGTTCTTGGGTTTAGGGTTTAGTTTTTTCTTTTCTTCTTCTTCTTATATATTTTTTTGGGGGGGTAGGGTATATATATATAATATGGGCCACCAGGGTGATATATATATATATACAAAGAGTACATATCTGGACAAATCCTGCGAAGCCAGGGCACACGTTCGCGATCATGCTCTCGCCGCGCTTCCTCATACCGCGCTTCCTCAACTTCTGCTCGCTCTTTGGGAGATCGAAGATCTTGGCAAGCCGGATCGGAAACTTACGGCAATGAAGCAGGGTGTATACTTCTGTTATTCGTCCGTCAGTGTATTTACGGCTAAAATTTTAAGGTTCCTTAGAAACATTGGTGAGTGTATTTATTGGGTGTCCTTTTGGGGATACTATATTGTATGCAGCATGACTTCGGACTCTTCTCTTTTCGCTCTGCTCAGCAAGGTCTGAGGTTTGACGTCCACAAAGTGCTTTGGAAACATACCCTGGCAGGGTCTCCTCTCACAAAGGGTAGACCTGACAGGTCCTGCATGAACCTTCCTGGTTCAGGCCCATATAGAGCCCCTAGGTTTGGGAGGGTGGGTGAAGAAAAGGAAGCCCCTCCAGGCTTCCTTTCTACTAGCACCCTCCTGGTGCTCCTGACTGTGTGCCCGCCTGGCACACTCAGATCTGTGAGCCCGGACAGCCACAGCGAAGTTATGCTTTTCATACAATAGCACCTCACCAACCTGCCCAAGCCGTAAAGGTACCAAATGTATGCAGCATGACTTCGGACTCTTCTCTTTTCGCTCTGCTCAGCAAGGTCTGAGGTTTGACGTCCACAAAGTGCTTTGGAAACATACCCTGGCAGGGTCTCCTCTCACAAAGGGTAGACCTGACAGGTCCTGCATGAACCTTCCTGGTTCAGGCCCATATAGATCCCAATGAACTGTGTCCCCCAACGCACTGTGGTCTAGAGAAACGAGAAGACCTTGATGATAACAACATATGGCATTGAGAAGAGCCAAAGAAGGGGGGTGGTCGACGTGACTGGGAAGCAATGTCGTTGTAGCCATGGATCGTGCCGGCCCTGGCGCGATATCCCATCGCTCCAGTTATCGTCTGACGCTACCCACTCGAAGAAGCACTGCATACGCAGGCCGAAGGCTGCTGCGTGGAAGATGCCAGACATACTGTCTAGCTCCGGATTGGAGGACCGGCCCTTGATGAGGCTCATGAGGGCAGCAACGTTATCTATCCACCAAATGCCGTAGGAGCTACGGAGGAGGGATGCCCAATGCACCGTGGCCATGAGAACGACGCAAAGTTCTAATTGGGCTATCTTAGTCGGGTGGCTGCTCCACATCTCGAAGAGGCTCGCATCAATTTCGAGGACCACTCCGCGCCGACGGCCTTGAGGGTCCACCAGGAGCGCACCTGCTCCTCCTTGGCCAGGCTGGTCTTGAGATGCATCTGAGGCTACGCAGAACCGCGGGGGAGGCTCCCCCATCAGCTTGAGCTCTCTGCGCGGCTTTGTAGCCAAGAAGGCCTGCACCAACTCCAAGGACTGCCGCAGCTCTGGGGACAGGATATCCCCTCCGAGTTTGTTGTACTGGTGTGAGCTGAGGGATTGCAGGCCAGCGCGGCCGACTTTGCCAAAGGCTCCGTGCGCCAGAAAGTTGAGGCACCCGTATAGTTTGGCTGCTTGACCATGGCCCAGCCGGCCGGATTCACGAGCTTGGGCGACCATCGCGGCTACCTTATCAACGAGCCTTTGCCTCGCCCAGAAGGTGACTTTGCCACTTTCCAATCTGGAAAGGTCGTGATGTAGCCCCAGAAATTCTCCAACCTCTGCCATGTGCTGTCGTTTGGCGGCTGCAAAAGGCGTTCCGAGCAGGCGCAGCAGTTCCCCGGCTGATGACTGTGCCGAGGTAGCTGAGGGTGCTGGGTCTTGCAGAGACAGATCATCAAAATAGAAGCTCCCACAAATGATGAGGAGACGCCTAAGGACAGCCTGCAGGAATCTGCTATACCGATTGAAGCTGGTGACAGCGTTGGGCAATCCAAAGAGGTGGCCGAAGTAGCGGCGAAGTCGCACTTCGCCTTTTTCGTGGTCCCAATAGGCGACCACTGTTTGCCAACTCTCCTTCGGGTCCATTGGTGTGAACCTGTAAGCCTCCGGCAGGTCCTCACCGCCTGTGAGGATACGGACTTCTCCTGGGTCGTGACCGTTGCGCATCAAAGACGAGCACAGCAGGCGGGCATGGACTCCCGGTTGCAGAGCTGTGCAGAGATCGAGCTTGTTGTGGTCCTCGCTGGCTGCGCTTTGTCCACCTGCTGCTGCATCGTCTATGACTCGCTTCTTGCCCGTCCCCTGCGTGATGCAGAATCGCGGTATCAGCCTGGCTGGCTGATCCCCAACCAGCAGTTCCCCTGCTGAGAAACTCGGGGAGCAGAAACCAGCTGCCTCATCATGGCGGCCAGCCTCCAGGATGACATCGTCATCCGGCCCAGGCGCCACACGTGCGACTACCTGTCGCACCTGCTGCTGCCAAGCAGAGGCGCTGGGTTCCGCCGGGATTGCGTCTCGAAACCCGAAGACGGGGACCTGTGGCGAAAGCCCGACTGCAGGGAAGCCCGTGAGCAGGCAATCCAAAAACTGAGCGTCCGGCCACTCCACGAGCATCATGAGAATGGGCACCATGGCAATGCTTCGGTTCTTGACCACGGAATATACTTCCGGGGCCTGCCTGGACCTGAGAAGCCGGTCCACATCCGACAAACGATGGACCAGTTCCTTGATTGCGCTAATGACTTCAGCACGGACTGCAGAGACCGTGTCCAGGTGTGCCCCTATGTAGTCGGACGCAAAATAAAGATCATGGTCAATCATGTGTTCCCACTCTAAAGGGGTCGGCTCATGACGGAGTCGCAGGGCATGATCGAAGTGTCCTGACTTGCCAAGGTGGAAAGGGATGAGCGGGGGGTTAGCCGCCCTGTGCGGCCCTGCACCCGCCTGGAAGCCTAACGCCGTCTGCAGAGCCGGCCTTTCTGCTGCCGACACAAATCTCGGCGGGCACTGGCCCCATGTCCACGGGCTCTGCTTCATCCGCCAGCCACGCCAGAGCGTGAGACAAGGCGAGTTCACGATGTCCTCCCCAGAGAGCCCAATGTTGCTTAATTAACTTTCGTGCTTATTTAAGCAAACTTTAAATAAGAAAGGTTCCTAATTATAAGAAAGGTACACCTTCCTTAATTAACGTGCAAAAAACATTGGTTAAATGTGGTGGCACATGGACACCAACAACACACACACATCACACACACACACACACAACACAACACACAACACACAACACACAACACACACACACAACACACACACACACACACACACACAACACACACACACACAACACACAACACACACACACACAACACACACAACACACACAACACACACAACACACACAACACACACAACACACAACACACACACACAACACACACACACACACACACACACACACACACACACACACACACACACACAACACACAACACACACAACACACACAACACACACAACACACACAACACACACAACACACACAACACACACAACACACACAACACACACAACACACACACACAAGACACCTCACACACACACACACACACACCAGACAACCCCACACACACACACACAACACACACACACACACACACACACACACACACACACACCACACACAACACACCACACTACACCCCACAGACCATGCACACACCACACACACATGCCATGCAACATCAAGCAAAAACCATTCACGAAAGTAGATCATGAAAATTGCATGCCCCCGAAGCATGAAATGCAGCACTCCCCAGGGGAGCAGCTATATATCATGCCTGCAGTGCAATGGAGATCTTTGTTTCTCTCAGAGTGCCGAAAGCAATTAAGCACCTGTTGCTTGGCACAAAAGATTCGCAACACAAGGTGAGACTGCATGCAAGCATGGGCTGTGCAAGCCCCCCCCCCCTTCGATCTTGGTTTGTTACAGAGGGCCGAAAATTGGGATCTGGTGCTTGGCATAGAACATTTGCAACACAATGTGAGACAAAACATTGGCTGTGTTAGCCCCTCCCCTTCTCTCCCCTATATGGGCCAGGCTTCCCCCGAAGTCCTCGTCGCGATAATTCCAATGCAAGCTTGGGGAGTCCAAGCTTTCCTCGCAGAGGTGAAGGAAAAGGTGGTGCTTGGGTTTGAAGCGCCAGACCGACTGATTGCTGTACAGGGTAGCCAAGCTAGCATACAAAAGCAAAAACTTTCGGCAGGCTGCAGCTAGCTTATTCCTATCAAAACGAGCAGGACTCAAATGGGAATAGCACTCTTGCAGATACTTCCCTGCATCCGTTGCTGCCCGATGCTCAGCAGTGTCCCCAGTGAGGAAGTGCTCACAAGCTTCAGAGATCCACGGGATGAGGCACCTAGCCTCGCCAGCTTTGCATCGTAGCTTTGGGCTTGCAGCATTTTGCTTTTTGATCATTCCGGCTGTGAGATTGTCCAGTCTGGACTCAGCATTGCTCCGTCTGTAAAAATCCTGCACATGTTTGAACAAGCAAGCCAGTTTCTCTGTTGGGCTTCCGGGGATTTCCTTGAGGATTGTGTGCATCAAAGAGCCCAAATAGTCCGCCGCGACCCCCTGGTCGACACAATGCAACCAATCTATTGCAAAAACATCGGTCTTGAAGCCCGGACATGCAAACAAGGGGGAACATGATCCGTGTGCTGCAAAAATCCTACCAACCAGCTCCCAGTGTGTAAGTGGAAGCTGTCGCCATGGAGCTGTGCTGCTAGCGTCCATGAAGCTGAGATTTGTCTTGTTGGCTTGGCATCGGTAGCAGCAGGCATCTGTCTGAGACCAAGCTGGTAGGCGAAAAACACTTTTGAATGCAGCCCAATCGCCCCGGACCTCCACCAATATGCCCTTTGCATGCAAGCTCCTGCCAGCAAGTTTAGCACGTTTGCCTTTTAACTCTTCTCCATGTGGCCCATACTTGGGGAAAACACCTTCAGCAAGGCAGGTGAGCGACCAGGCCAACACGTGCATAATGGCATCGAGAGTAGAAGTTTTTGCACAGTGTCCCTTGTAGAGTGCTGTTAGGGGAAATCGCATTGAAGCAAGATCACCCCCGACATGAGGAAAATTCATCGTGACGACCTCGAGGGATTCCGACCTGTCATACTTTACTGGAACACCGTCAAG